AAATGTCAGCCTCTCTGCTCCTATGATGCTGCTTGGCCTGCTGTGTTCATCCAGCCCTGCACCTTGTTGTTTCGGATTCTCCAGCATCTGCAGTTCCTACTATCTCTGATACAATACTAGTTTGTATGATTTCTGAATGAGCTGGTATTAGGTGTCAGGAATCCCTGTATGTTCCACAGGGTCACTGCTGGTAGAGGTTCATTTTACAAAATCAACTCATGTTTGTTATCAAATTGTAATGTATTTACAATAAAATATCATGATACTGCAACCAGTAATCTTCTGGGACACAAAGATATCTCAGAAATTAGTTTTAATCCATTTAACTGACTGACCTGGTTGTCGGCAGATAGTGTTACTATTTCCTGTTTTGAAGTCACATTGCTTTCATTGTCAACAAACCTGTAAAATGTAGATAGAAGAACTGCTAATGCAGAAAAAACTTCACTCCAGCATCAGCCATGCACTGCACATTCTCATCAGCATCACATTTGGTACATAGTGTGACATGTTGCAAACTTATATTTATCCTCAATTCTTATCCATATCGTACTCCAAGCTCTACCTGATCTTTAATTTTACTGCTATTATTATATTGGAAAAATGGATGTGCATCATACAGTGTCTATGTTCCCAATGTTGACATCCTAATTTTTAATTTTAAATAAATTTTAGACCAACGCAGTCACAGAGACAAGGACGTCAAGTCCCACCAATCTAGCTAACTGCATGAACTCAGGTTTACTGCTTTAGTATTTATTTTCATTTTCTCTTCTTCAAAATCCCTGGTTCAAACCAAGTTACTTGTAATTTTGATACATTATATTTGCTGATAAAATAGAATAGACTGAACGTAAGAACATTTTCATTCAGGAGGTAAAGTTCAGAAAGTCTTGTATTTGACCAGCTATGCATTGTTATCCTTGGATACAGGGGTCAGAATACACAGATCACTTTCATGAAACACTACACTTTACATTCTCTCTGTACCTCTCATGAATTTCTTCCTGTTCACCATCTGTTTGGACCATTCTTGTATTCTCTTGTTCAGAACTAACATTCTCTAACTGTTCCACCTCTTGACCCTCCTGCTCATTAATAACGATCTTCTCATCATTAATTGTCACTTTTTTCTGTCTTTCACCTGTAAAGAACACAAAAACATTACTTAAAATTCAATTCAAACATGACTCAGTTAAATCTGCCCAAATCAACAGTAACCTTTGAAGTATGGTTTAAGGGGCTCTGTGGAGAGGTTGGTTTTGTTCAGGTTCCATGAAAGTAACTTGTCAGCAGCTTTATACAAATACATGCAAGAGTGTGGAGAGCAGCCTGAATAGATTAATTTTAAACTCTTTATTTCTGTTTCCACCAACATCTTTGAGAACGCATGATGCACAATATACATAATGCAGAAACTGGTAAAATGGTCACTTCTTGCAAATTACAAATAATACCCACTTTGTTGTTTCTGCTAAGTAACTATGGTCCATATTCATAAATTCAGATAAACAATGGCATATTTACACAGCGAGAGGGGTTTTGCTTGTCAGAACAATAACAGTATCATATAAAATAAACTTGTCAATGTAGTAAACATCCTAAGGTGTTCAAACTAATTTTGACACCAAGGAACAGAGTGTAAATTAGGAAAGTGCCCAAAGTTTGATCAAAGAGTTAGGTTTTAAAGAAGAAAGAATGATAATTGTGTTGAGAAATTTACGGGAAGAAAATTTTAGATCTTGGGGCCTAGGCAGTTGAAGGCACAGGTGAAGCAATGAAAAGGAGAACATAGAACATAGAACAGTACAGCACAGTAGAGGCCCTTCGGCCTACGATGTTGTGCCGAACTTTTACCCTAAACCTAAGGTCTATCTAACCTCCACCCCTACCTTACGCTATCATCCATACGCCTATCTAATAGCCGCTTAAATGTCCCTAATGAGGCCGACTCCACTACCCTCTCCGGCAATGCATTCCATGCCCCTACCACCCTCTGAGTAAAGAGCCTACCTCTGACGTCTCCCCTATATTTACCTCCACCCACTTTAAAACTATGTCCCCTCATGATAGCTACCTCCACCCTAGGAAAAAGTCTCTGGCTGTCCACTCTATCTATACCCCTGATCATTTTGTACACCCAGGATCTGATGAAGCGTCCTGACCCAAAACGTCGACTCTCCTGTTCCTCTGATGCTGCCTGACATGCTGTGTTCCTCCAGCTCCACATTGTATTGACCCGGACTCCAACATCTGCAGTTCTTGCTATCTTCAAAGCAATGAAAATCAGGGTTGCACAGCAGCCAGAATTTAAGGGGAGCAGAAAACTTAGGAAGCTTTCAGGGGTTTACAGAGATAGGGGGAAATGAGCTGGTGAGAAATTTTAAAACAAAAATGAGAATTTCAAAACAAAAGTTTTGCCAGACTGGGACCCAATATAAAGTAAAAACCGAAAGAACTGGGTTCTGAGGAAGGGTCACTGGACCCAAAACGTTAACTCTGTTTTTTCCTTCACAGATGTTGCCAGACCTGCTGAGCTTTTCCAGCAACTTTGTTTTTGTTGGGGCCCAATATAGATCAGTAAGCACAAGGATGATGGGTGAATGGGATTGGTGCAAATTTGGATACAGGCAGTAGAGTCTGGATGGGGTCAAAATTAGGGAGATGGGAAGCCAGCCAAGAAAGCACTGGAAGTCTGAACATACCCGAGGTATGAATGAGAATTTCAGAAGACAAACTACGGCAGTACGTAAACACTTATACACCTCTACCCCAACATACAAGTTCACAAAGGAATGTTGATGTTGATGGTACTGAAATAACTCCACAGAGGCCAGTATCCTGTCATCAAATTACCCTTTGTTTACACGTGGTAACACAGCTATCTCGCTCAGAGCCAGTTCTCAGTGTGAACAAGGTGTCTGACCCGCCTGTTCTTATCTGGCAGCCAGGGCTCCCTGACTTGGCCAGATTAACAGCCTCAATCAGGGAACTCATATTCTATGAAGTCCGCCTAGCTGATGTGATTACAATCACTACAGGTACAACTGCCAATTTTGAGCAACTAAATTCAGGGATGTACATAGGACAAAACTGGAGGAGGATAGAGAGTTACAAAATTAGGAAGTAATAAGGCCATGAAGGGATTTGAAAACAGGACCCAAAACTAGCCCTTGGGGACATCACTAAAAACCACCTTAGGAACAGTAGTAAGTCATTCAGCCTCAAATCTGTTCAACTTTTCAATGAGATCATGGCTGATCTGTGGCTTATCTCCATAGACCGGCCTTTGGCCTTATCCCTTAATACATTTGCTTAACCAAAATTCATAATTTATAACTGATCTAACATGAACTGCCATTTGGGGAAGAGAATTCCAAACCTCTATCACCCTTTGTGTATAGAAGTGCTACCCAACAACTAGGAAGGGCAATATCTACTCACCATGTCCCAAGAGGGAACAAGTAAAATGGTTTGACCTATTCTGTCTGAGCTGACCTTTATAATGGAACAACCCAAAAATAATTTTGCTGCCAATGAATATTTTTCAAATGTGTCACACCTTACTGGGGTAGTGTGCTGAAAATCAAGCCGCGCTATTTCCAGAGTCATCGACAAATTCAATATTTTAAAAAGTACACAGAATTGCTCAATTTATTTGACTTTCAATCCCAGGATAACAGCACGGACAAGGTTTCTGCACTGAACAAGAATGGCTATTTATTACATATGAATAGACTCTAGCTACAGGCAAACAATTAAAAACCATCGGTATGTAACTCCACAAGGTCAGTCAGCTTGGGTCGTTGGATAGCTGGTTTGCAACATAGAGTGATGCCAGCAGCACAGGTTCAGCTCCCACACCAGCTGAGGTAAGTATGAACATCCTGCTTTCGCAACCGTTCCTCGTGCTTGAGGTGCGATGACCCTCTGTTTAAACTCAGTAATCTCTCTGTCAAAGGAGAGAGCAACCCTATGGCAACTTAACCTTAACCTTAACTTTACCAGTTAAAATTCTAATCCCTTTTAAACAACTCCTATACACGTACAGACATAAACAGGGGGAAAAAACCATAGGTATTATGCATGGAGGCAAAAACTGGGAATGCAGTTCAGCATTGCTGTTTACAGGATTTGCTGAGATGACACTTGTGCTGGTAAGGACACTGCTGCTTAAATTTTCCTCTTCTGGATGCTTTCACTGGTTTGCAGGAGCCTCAGATTTACTTTTACAAGCAGGTCTCAGATTTACTAATTTAAAAAATATCACAGCAAGTGCTAGAAATAAATTACTTCTCTTTAGGATTGAAGTGATTTTTTTTCTGCAAGCAACAGAGACAGCTCTTGAGCTTGTGGAGATCTAATTTCATTCACAGGGCCAAACTGTTCAGCCAACTAGGAGTCAGAGGGTTGGCAGGCAGAAGGCCTTTGTCATCAATAACTGGTCACTAGTTCACAGGTCAATCAGCCACTTGTTGCTGACTGAATTGCCATTTGGACACACCCTAGATCAAGCTTATCTGTAAACCTCCTGCCGCTGCTATTGGAATCAGTAGCTGTATATGCATCACTTAGAGTGAGTGTCATGTTACTTGTATTTTAAAATTGCTGCAATCATAGAGTCAGAGAATTATACAGCACGGAGACAGACCTTTTGGTCCAACTTGCCCATGTTGATCAGACGTCCCAATCTGATCTAGTCCCATTTGCCAGCATTTGGCCCTTATCTCTCTAAATATATCCTATTCATTTAACCATCCAGATGCCTTTTAAATGTTGTAATTGTACTGGCCTCGATCACTTTCTCTGGCAGTAGTTCCATACACACTTCATCCACTGCATAAAAAGGTATCCCTCAGGTCCTTTTTAAATCTTTCCCAGGTCACCTTAAACCTTTGTTCTCTAGTTTTTGATCCCCAACCAAAGCAAAAAGACCTGACTATTCACCCTATCCATGGGCCTCACAATTTTATAAACCTCTATTAGGTTACCCCTCAGCCTACGTTGTTCCAGGGAAATAAAGCCCCAGCCTGTTCAGCCTCTCCCTGTAACTCAAACTCAGCAACATCCTTGTAAATCTTTTTTGAACCCTCTCAAATTTAACAACATCCTTCCTATTGAAGGGCGACCAAAATTGTTGGAGTATTCTAAATGTAGCCTTACCAATGTCCTGTACAGCTACAACATGACGCCCCCAACTACTATACTCAATGTTCTAAACAATGAAGGCAAGCGTGCCAAACACCTTCTTCACCACCCTGACTACCTGCGACTCCACTTTCAAGAAACTGTGCACCTGCACCGCTAGGTCTCTTCATTCGGCAACACTCTCCTTACCATTAACTGTATAAGTCCTGCCCTGGTTTGACTTACAAAAAAATGCAACACCTCATATTTATCTAAATAAAACTCCATCTGCTACTCCTCAGCCTATTGGCCTATCTGATCAAGGTCCTGTTGTACTGAGAGAATTTTCTTCACTGTCCACTACACCACCTATTTTGGTGTATCTGCAAACTTACAAACCATTCCTCCCATATTCACATTCAAATTATTTATACAAGTGATGAAAAGCAGTGGACTCAGCACTGATCCTTGTGGCACACTGCTGGTCACAGGCCTCCACTCCAAAAAGCTGTACGCTTCCACCACCAGGTCTTAGGTATTTATCTACCTTCATGCATTGTAAGACCTCCAGCATCTCCTCTACTGTAATTTGAACTCTTTTCAAGACCTTACTATTTATCTCCCAAGTTCCCTAGCTTCCATGTCCTTCTCCACGGGAAATACTGTTCAGTATCTTACCCATTTCTTGTGGTTCCACACATAGATGGCCATATTGATTTTGAAGGGCCCTATTCTCTTCCTAGTTACTCTTTTGCCTTTATTTCTTTGGATTCTCCTTAATTCTATTTGCCAAAGCGATCTCATGTCCCTTTTTTTGCCCTCCTAATTTTCTTCTTAAGTATACTCCTACTGCCCTTATACTCCTCCAGGGATTCACTCGATCCCAGCTGTCTAAAGCTGATATATGTCTTCTTTTTCTTGATCACAGCCTCAATTTCTCTAGTCACTCAGCATTCTCTACACCTACCAGCCTTGTCCTTCACATTAACAGGAATGTATTGTCTCTGAACTCTTGTTATCCCATTTTTAAAAGGCCTACCACTTCCCTACCTTCCCTTTATCTGAAAATAGCCTCAGCCAATCAACTTTTGAATGTTCCTATCTAATACCATCAAAATTGGCCTTACTCCAATTTAGACTTTAAACTTTTTGATCACTTTTATCCTTTTGCGTAACTATTTTAAAACTAATAGAATTATGATCACTTGCCCCAAAGTGCTCCCCCACTAACACTTCAGTCACTTGACTGCCTTATTTCCCAACAGAAGGTCAAGTATTGTTCCTTCTCGAGTAGGTACTAATATTGAATAAGAAAGTTTTCTTGTAGACACCTAACAAATTATTTTCCATTCGAGCCCTTAACACTATGATAGTCCCAGTCCAAATTTGGAAAAGTAAAATTTCCTACCATTACAACTTTATTATTCTTGCAGATCATTGAGATCTTCTTACATATTTGCTTCTCAATTTCTCGCTGACAGTTGAAGGGCCTATAGTACAATCCCAACAAAGTGATCATCTCTTTCTTATTTCTCAGTTCTACCTATTTAACTTCACTGGATGATGTCCCAGGAATATCCTCCCTGAGTACAGCCATAATGTTATCCCTAACCAAAAATCCTTCAACAATCCTTGACTTTTAAAGTTATTTTCTTGTTTCAGTCCATGAAAGTACAGAAAAATGAAAAGACATAGTCTTTACAAATTTATATCCAATTTTACACTGAAAGCTGCAACATTGTCTTCCCCAGTCTCTCCCTGTGACAAAGCATTCCAACCATTGACCAGCTTCTGTGTAAAACCATATTTTTCTAACCCCTCCCCTTACTCTTATGGGAGTGGAATTTTACAAAAGGACACGAAGAAATTGAAGATTCTTCAAAATAACCTTTCCTAATCACTCTGTTACAACTGTTCCTAATTTTAAAATCCTCCAATAGATCTTCTCCTAGTTTTCTCTGCTCCTATAGAAACAGTTTGCAACAAATTTCAGATTTACCTTTTCCTGTTTTCTTCTTACGAATAGAGGCACGTAAAATGTCTGATCCAAACTTTTTGTCTGTGTGTCGCTTTGCTCGGACTTCCTTAAACCAATCTCCTGTTGCAAATTTTAACTGTTCAGGATTAAGAACCGATTGTTGCAACTTCCTGCAAAATCCACAACAGGGAAAGTTAGGAGCAGTAACACAGAAATGAAGTGTAAGAAGTAGCAATAACGTACCAACAATATCTCATGAATTGAGATTAATGATCACTGTCCTAAAGCTCTGTAAAAGATTTAGAACATGGAGGAATTATACATTTAGGCTTCAAATTCTACTAATTCATTCTTCAAGATACACCACTCCTTCTATTAATTTTGGAATCCAACAAAAACCTAATAAAGATACCTTCATTAGAGTAACTGGATGCTAAACTATGCGTGGTATTTTGGAATTTCCTCACAGGTGCTAGAGATACGGCAGTCACTCCAGTCGTGAATAAACATGTCTTCTGCTACAATCCCAGTGGTGTGGGACCTGTAGCAGCTAGTTGAAGATCTTATGACACAAAGTTAGGAGAAGCATCAGGTTTAGTGTATGGAACTGGAAATTACAAAAGATCAGACAAATTAAATTGGTAAGCATTACAGATGTTCAATGTAGAAAGCATGAGATCATCCACTTTGAATTCAAGAAAGATAAATCAGAGTATTTTCTAAATAATGGAGACTAGGAATTATGGGACTATGGAGGAACAGAAAAATATGGGGATTCAAAAAAGGGAATGACAAAGCTAATGAACAGTATGAAACAATGAGAAAGTCTAATGCATATCGACTTTTATCTCAAAGGGCTGAAAATGATCTTCATGTTGTATAAAGTTATTGTTAGACCCCATTTGGAGTATCATGTTCAGCTCTGGGCATCTCATTTCCAAAGACATATATTAGCTTTGTAAATGTGGTTTGTATTCCCTTGAGAACAGAGGATTGAAGGGTGATTCATTGAAGAGTTTAAAATTACAGAAAGGTGCAATTGGGTAAGAACTGAAAAGCAACTTAGTTTTGGTGGAGGGATACAGAACAATGGATTATAATCTTAAAATTAGAGCGAGACCTTCCAGGAATGAGATTAGAAAATCCAATTTCACAAAGGCTTATTAAGGCTGGCCCCAACCCTTTTTCCCATTAGCTTCTGTGGATGGAGCTGATGGGCTGACCATGGCCCACTTCTTCAACTATCTAACTGGTCCAGGGCACAAAGTGCCCAAACCCCTGATATCTCCCAGACTGTATTAGCCCCACCTCCGGACTGACTGCTATGAAATCACAGGATCGACTGTGATCCACTCCCTGTACTGTAGGGGCACTGACCCCCTGGTGGAAACCATCTTGAACATCTTAAGTACTTCGATTTGGTTTCGTGATTGGTGTTTTTTCCCACATGATAACTGATTATGGTTGTAACTTGTTAATGGTTCACTTGCCTTGCTTGCTAATGAGGCACAGTTAACACTTGGTAATGAATCATAGACTGATAATTGAACATTCATAAGTCACTAATGATGCTTGGCAGTATGTCCTGCTCATCAACAGGTCTGGCAGTTCCTACGGAAACAGAAGCGGAGTAAATGTTTCAGATCCAATATAACCCTTCTTCAGTAGTGGATCTATTTCTCTGTTAACTCTGTTTCTCTCCCCACAGATGCCATCAAACATACTGAGTTTCTCCAGCACTTTCTGTTTTCATTTCAGATCTCCAGCATCTACAGCATTTTGCTTTGGCCATTTTATCACTTGGACTTGACTACTTCTTATGTTGTGCTTCCAGAAAATATTGTTGTTGGTTGTTTAAGACATCTTATCATCGCAATTGCCTCTTAGCAATTGGTAGCAAAGTTTACCAACTCCCAAATTCAGTGCAAGGTTTCAAATAAGGTAGACATTCAGAAAGCTATATTACATTCAGGCATAAATAGTTGCATGATTTCACAAACTTCAAGGAAAAGATCACATTTAATTATCCCAGAAGTTACTTGTGTTATTTCACTAACCCTACCGTTAAAATTAATTAATTCATTGTAAATCTTTTACTTCACAAATAACATTAAAGGCTAGCACAAAGTTACACAGGAAAAAAGTTGTCAAATGTAACAGTGAAAATAAGGAATAATTATTCAAGTCTAATTGTAAGAATGTAAAATTTCCTTCTGCTTACTTGATCCGTTCGTCCTCCAATAAACGGAGCTCGGCATCCCGATAAAGGACATGTACAATCATATCTAGCTCCTCATCTGTTACAAAACTCAAATCAATTAGCTCCTCAATGTTGAAATCTAACTCCATGGCAGGATGTCTAATGTCTGGTAATTCTTCAAGACAAATCAGCAGCAAACGTTAGCCAGACTTGGTGGTGAAGATGCTTTAGTCCTTTCCCAAACAGTTTTGCATTTTTCAGCCTCGTAAATACATTACTCAAAGGATTAGCAATGCAGCAACATCCATTCTTAAAGAGCCCAATATTATCTAGTTTTGAGGAATGTAAATCCCAAATCTTCCATTGTGTCCCAATTTTTTTTTCTGCATTGGTCCTGGCAACTGAAAACAAAAAAAAAGAATTGAGAGATTTTATTCAAATCACCAAACTTTTGTTTGACTTTGGGATAAATCAATCCTTATTGTAGCCACTGGTCAGGCAGGTCAGTTCTGCAACTGAATATTGGTTCTATAATATTAAACAATGGTAACCTGCATTCTCTACCTGAGGAACAGTAGACAATACGTACATTCAAAAACTGTCTGGTTTCAGCCCCTTGCACTTTCACTGCCCAGTTCCTTGATCTGCTAATGCCAGCCTCCAAACACTGCTGCCATAGTGCATTTCATCATGCTAACTGGCCTTTCATCCTACTTGGACCCTTGTTTCCTGCCACTGCTCATCCCTAAGACCGGGATTAAGATTTGTAATTTTGTGCCTCCTTATTTTGGACTCCCCGATTTGAGAAAATAGTTTCTTTTCTATCTACCTTACCAAATCCATCAGTCATCTTAAAACACTTTAAATAGATCTTTAATCTCAATTTACAAGGAAATACAAGCCCCATGGCTTAGGCTTTGTTACTTTCTTGCTCCAGATGCTCCTCTCCTACATCTGACACAACCAGTGACTTAGCGATGAAAATTGTTGCAGTCTTATCAACAGTAACGATTTGCATTCAGGAAACACCTTGACATTGCAGTGGATACGGACAAAACTTGGGGATCAGGATTAGCTAGGAGTCCAAGAACCACAGTCACTGAGATCAATATCTAACTGTTACTACATCAAAGACAGGGGAAATAATTTCAGCATCAGCAGGAAACCTCATGGTTAGGGGGCCTGAAAGGAAACTCTCTTGAAAGCTGAGCGTATTTCATAGACAGGCCGCTGCCAAAAGTGCATTTTCCAAACCCCCACCCGCCACCTCCCAAATGCCTCTGGGTACAGTTTCTGCACACATAAACTACATAATCTTTATAACAATAATGCAAATTCCAGTGATCACAGGCTGAAAAGAGACACATAAGACCATAAGTTAAAGGACCAGAATTAGGCCATTCAGCGCATGGAGTCTGCTCTGCCATTTGATCACAACTGATATGTTTCTCTGCCCCATTCTCCTGCCCTCTCCTCGTAACCATAGATCCCCTTACTAATTAAGAACCTATCTCTGTCTTAAATACTCTCAATGACTTGGTCTACAGCCTTCTGTGGCAATGATTTCCACAGATTCACCACCCTCTGGCTGAAGGAATTCTTCCTTATCTCAGTTCTATAGGATCGTCTCTTCACACTGAGGCTGTGCCCTCGGGTTCTAGTCCTTCCTACGAGTGGAGACATTTTCTCCATGGCCACTCTATCCAGGCCTCTAAGTTTCAATGAGATCCCCCGCCTCATCCTTCTAAACTCCATCGAGTACAGACTCCAAGTCCTCAACCACTCCACAAGTGAAAGGCCCCACCCCTAGGATCATTCTTGTGAAGCTCCTCTGAACTCCCTCCAAGGTCAGCACATCCTGCCTTAGGTACGGGGTCAAAAACGGCTCTCAGCATTCCAAATGCAGTCTGACCGGAGTCTTGCACAGCCTCAGCAGTACAGTCCTGCTCTAGTATTACAGGCCTTTCAAAATGAATGCTAACATTGCATTTGCTTTCCTAACTGCCAACCGAACCTGCACAATAACCTTATGAGAATCCTGAACTGGGACTCTGAAGTCCCTTTGTCCTTCAGATTTCCGAAGCCTTTCTATACTTAGAAAATGGTCTCAGCCTTTATTTTTCCCCCCAAAGTGTATAACCTCACACTTTCCCACATTGTATTTCATTTGCCACTTCTTTACCGACTCCCCTGGGTGGGGAGGATGAAATGGCATCAGGAAAGCAATGTCAGGCACAAGGCTCCGCTAAGCAAGAGTGTTTACTTCAGGTGATGAAGTTTGGTGTAGAAACCATGGGAATGGCCCTGCATGGGTAAGAGGCATGGTCGATGCAAGGTCAGGTCCATGATGTATAAAGTTTGGGTAGGTGCAATGGTCCTGAACAAGCACATGGACCATATGAAAGCTGTAAACTCACAAATGGTGCAGGAGCAAAACATGCCCAGCTTCTTGACAATCTTTCCAACTGTTCCGGGACCCATGGGTTCTCCATCTCTGTCAAGCATTGAAGAAACCCTGGAATCTGAGATGGTCACAGTGGATGTCACCACCTCAATGCCTTTGCCATCTGAAGAAGAGAATGAATTTCTTCTGAGATGCTCCAGGTACAAGAGATGAGTTACTGTGAAATTCTTGCTCTACATATCAGAGGCAGAATTGGAAGAACCTGACTCGGTGTTAAAATGCTCTGAGAGGAGCTACAAAAAAAGAACAGGCCTACGTCCTCAGATTCAGAGGAAGAGGGATGTATTGATTATAATGAGGTCGGTACGGTGGACTTCATAGAATGATCTCCCTGCTTGAGGCTGTTAATCTGGTCCAAACAGGGAGCTCTGCCTGACAGATATAAACAGGAGTGTCAGATGTCCTCTTCTTTCTGAGAGCTTGCTCTGAGGGAGCTGGATCAGTGTCATGAACTCTCCACCTGTGACTTGGTAATGGGATACCAGCCTCTGTGAAGTTATTTCATTCCACAATCTCCTCAGCTATCTTTTTCAGAATCAAAGTCTGGTTGATTTATCTACCTTCAGACTTTTTCAGCCTCCCTAGCACCTTCTCCTTAGCATTGGTCTCTCAGTTACTTCTGCCCATTTCAACGATGTAGGATGAAGGAAAATAGGTGTGTGATATAGGCAGAAACAGTGGGGAGCCAAAGTAACACAGTCACAGATTAAACTATTTGTGTTTGTATACAGTGTAATGATTCAAAATGCAATATGGTTGCCATGCATGCATAGATGCAGCAAATGATGTCACCTGGCTCCGACACGACTGGCTGCAGGAAGCATCACTGCATTCTCTGCATGATGACATCATGCATGCTTGCATTGCTGACAAGAGGTCAGAGAGGTGAGGGAGCAACTTGAGCACAGCTGGAGCTGGATAAAGGCCAGGAGCAGGAGGAGGCTAGAAACTAGGGAGGCCAAGGCTGAGGCCTGGAGCTTCTGCTCTCTGTCATCACCACCCAAGGGGAAGGCCCTACCCAGAAACAGGAACAGATACCTGGGGGCCAGGACGGCTGCTGTGACTGTTTCCTCAATCACCTCCCTCTAACCCTGGTCATTCATCTTCACAGCTGTTATTCACTTTGCATACTTCCACCTATTTCCTTCCTTAACTTCTTGAAATGAGGATGTGACAGAGCACATTCTTCATACTGTATAATGGTGGCATAAATATAGATAAATGAAGCTTAACTGAATTGGGCCATTTTATAACAGTGAAAGAGCAAAGGGATAAAGTGCTATAAGGATAGATCTTTTCTGCTGGGGTGTGGGCTCAGGCTGCAGCTGGGCTGGCCAACTCCAGAAAAAGGTCAGGAAGGAGCCTCGGGGACTGAGATGAGCTGTTTAAAAGATTTACCTCAATGCTGTGGGATTTTGTCCCAGTAGCAAGAAACTGAAAATAAAAATCTGTGAAAGTGTATCAGCCCTCACTCTTCATACCCATTGCTCCAACGCAATTTCCATTCCACCTCATGCCCCCAACCCATTCGTATAACTCCTCATGCCAAGACATGCCCCTCCAACCAATCCACTTACTCCTCATACCTCTCTATTCCAGTCAATGATACTTCCTTGTTCATTCATCCACTATGCAATGAGAAGCAATGAATAGTGAAAGTTTGACATGCAAAAATGTTTTTTGAAAGAACATTGATTATTTTCCATTATTAAAATAAACTCTTTCCGTTACAGCCCCATAAAAATATAATTTTTATGAGTTTTTATAAGTTAAAAAGTTTCAATGACTGAAATCTTGTGTAAATAAACATTGTGAAATTGATAGCAGAGATCCCATAGCCAGCAATGTTAATCAACAGGGGCTCAGATGTTTTAAAAGAATAATGATGCCTGGGATCTCAACAAATCTTCATTGTCTGGAATTGGATCCACCCCATTTTTAAAAGGCTCCCAAGTCATCTTGACTCAGTAAAAATGTGCCCTTAGCTGGGAAGGCATGGCATCTTTAAAAAAAAACTTCAGAGAGGAAGGGGAGGTTGTAGTCAGGGTAGTACTTGATGAAGATAGAGACATTACCTTTCTTCCCCAAGGGTTAAAAACAGTTTAAGAGAAACAACAGAGTGTTGGGATAAGGAACAATTGACAATATCAACCTGCATGAGGACAGAGGGGAGTTGTCTAGTTAGGGGTTGAAATGGCGGAAGCAAACAAGCAAGCAATGGATACGATGAGCTAGAATAGGGAAAGCAAGAGCGCGAGAAGGTGAGGGCTTTGATGAGACTAGACATGGGATACTGTGCATTTTGATCTCCATATTTAAAGAAAGAATATATTTGTATTGGAGCAAGACTAATTTATTCTTGTATTGTAATTTCCTTGGAATAAAGGCCAACATATTATTTGCCTTTCCAATTGCTTGCTGTACCTCCATGCTAACTTTGGGTTCCTTGCAGAAGAACACCTAAGATCCACAATTCATGTCCTTTCTTAAAAAAAATCTGCTTTTTTATTCTTAATACCAAGGTGCATTACCTCAAATTTCCCCACATTATATTCCATCTGCCACCTGTTGCCAACTAACTTAAGTTATCTGTCTTTGCAGTCTCTTTGAATCCATCTCACACTTGCATTCCAATATAGCTTTGAATTATTAAGAAATCTGAATATATTACTCTCATCTCTTTATCCTAGCCATTAACATGGATGGAAAACAACCGATGGAGCTAATGCCACTGATCTAACTTTGCATTATACCATCTTACTTGAAAATGCCCCATCCATTCTTGCTCCATCCTACTAGCTACATTTTCAAAAAGCTTGATAAATGTCAAAGAATTTTTGATTTCTAAACCATATTTACTTTGTCTGATCTGAAAATAAATGATTTTCTCAATGCATTGTGCAACAAGTCACTGAGGTAGTGCATTGGAAATCAAGTCCCTCTGTTTCTGAGTTGGATCAAATGTGAAGACTTGATTAAGCCACCAAATTGCCCAATTTTACCAAACAGTCCAATTCAGATAAAATGATATGTACACCAGATTCTCTCCATTGTCAAGAAAATAACCATGTATTGAATCAATCTGCTTTTTTTAAAACCAATGGCAAAACATAGACAAATTGAGTGGCTAATCTAAACTCTATAATTGAAACTCCACCCTTTTCATAAAATGCCTTTACACATACAAATCAAGCACACAAAGAGACAAGACAAAACACAAATATTGAAAATGGGGAAGGGGATAAAAGTCAGAGAAGCATAGTTCTGGCATCAGTGTAGATCACAGACTTGATGAATTGTTGTCTTTCAGCATTCTTTCAACTCCTTCTGATTCAATGCTAATGAATGTGAGGTTGTAAATATACTTACTCTCAAACTTTCATTCCCTGGTAGAGAATTTGCCCGTTCTATGCAGTTGAAAATGTGTTTTACCCCCTTTTTCTTTCAACAGGGGATTTACAGAGAAAGCTTAGGGAAAGTAGCCAGGATTTCCTTTCACTTTTCCACACAGAAAAGAAAGAGTGAGAGATGGATGCTTTCTTTTTGGAGACTGAATGTTTTTGCTGTATTATCCATACCTAAGGTTAGAACCATCTGCCCAGGAACCAATCAAATGGTTGTCACTATGCTGATACCTCCTGAGCCCACAACAAAAAGGTCCTGATTGAAATGCCTATCGGCTCCTATGATGCTGCTTGGCCTGCTGTGTTCATCCAGCTCTGCACCTTGTTGTCTCTATTAAAAGACTGTGTTTGGCCCAAATTTCCCTTAACAGACATAGCTAATACCATTCTGGCTGAAATGCTCACTCACTGCTTAAATAAGGCAACATGCACATACAATTCACAATGTGTTCCAGTAACTTGTTTTTGAAACTGCAAACATCTTCTTACAAAATTTCCTTGCTTTAAAGAAGTATCTTCTCCCATTTTAGTCCATTGACCAAAAAATATGGTCATTATAACTGTTAAGACTTACTCAATAATAGATTTCAGTACTTTTTGACAACCATGTACTCCTAATTCATCTGTGGTTTCCTATTTTGTCTCTCTCTTCTTTATTGAATAGGATCTTGAATTTGCTAACTTCTAATTCACTGGGACCATTCTATGATCTCAGAAATTTTGGAAAATCATAACCTGCACATCCATTACCTCTTAAAACCCTAGAATGTAGAGCATCAGGTCTAGGGGATTTATCAGATTTCAGTCCCTCATGTTTCTTCTCAAGGTCTTGTAACACAGCAGTAGCTACCTACTGTTTGGTTAGATGTTTTGCACTCAAGTTCCATCTCAGAGCTTGATGGCCCCAGAAAGTGTTTCATAACATAGCCAAACAGTGTAATTATCAATCTGTAAATCCTTCCAAAACATGGCTGATAAGAGTGGGAGAGATTCCTGGTCAGTCAGAATGGTATGGTAATTGCAAGGCAACAGCCTTCCCATGTTATAAGACTTCACACACAGGTTCTTACCACCATCAAGCACTATCCTCATTCCAATGCACTTACAAATATTTTCTTTCTGCTGATATTAATTATCTTAATTTCTTCCATCTTATTGGCTCCTAGGTTACTTTCTATTTCTGGTATGTAACTTGTGTCTTCTACTAGGAAGACAGACAAAATATTTATTCAATGCTTTTGCCACTTCCTCATTCCCATGATAATTTCTTCTATCGTTACCTCAAGGGATCAATATTTACTTCAGCTACTTCCCTTTTTACATACTTACAAAAGCTCTTGCAATCTGTTTTTATATCCCTAAGTAACTTGTTCTCAGATTTTAATTCCCCTATCTTTTTTTTGGTGGGCCTTTACAGGTTTCCAAAGCTTACCCTAATGTGCAGCCAGGAGGATCTGGGGTAGTCATTGCCTTCTACCACCAGTGTCCCCTCCCCACATGACCTTGGCTAAAAGGAGTATTATGTCCAATTTTAGAAACCACACTTTACAAAGGACTAGAAGGTTATAGAGAGGTTGCTGAAATGGCTTCTGGGAGTAGTTTCAGGAATAAGGGATTTCAGTTACGAGGATTGGAGAATCTGGGGTTGTTTTTCTTTGGGAATAGAAAAGTGAGGACAGAAGAGTGGATTAAAGTGTTCAAAATCATAAGGAATCTACACAATAGATAGGATAAACCATTGCTTTGGCAGGAGAGTTGTGAACTAGAGGACATTGATTTAAGGTTATTGGCAAAAGAATCAATAGCAATGAGGAAGAATCCTTTTAGGTAAAAGGGGGTTTGGACTTGGAATGCAATCCCTGACAGTGTGGAGGAAGCACACACAATCATGGTTTCATTAAAGTACTGAAGGAAAAAGAGGCACAGGGAAAGTGATATGAGTCTATTTGTGTTTAACATTTAAAACAGGTCTTTTGGTTCAGAATAATAATCAGTCCCATTATGTTGCCAACATTTTTTTTAGGCTTTTGGAGTGCTCGGTACAAGTTTCCAATCTCATTTGCAACGTTTGTAGTAAAATCAGGTGTTAAAATAGAAAACCTTTGTACTCTACTTTGTTACAACATATTAAATACCATCTCATGATTCTCCTCCCTTCAGTGGGTTGATAAATGTTTACTCTAAAGGATGGCAACTCAGTTTGTAAACCATCGAATCCATACAATCCCTATAGTATGGAAACAGGCCATTTGGCCCAATAGGTCCACACCGAACCTCCCAAGTGCACCCCACCCAGACCTATCCCCCTACTCCATCCCATGGCTAACATGGCTAACCAACACATCCCTGAACACTATGGGCAATTTAACATGGCCAATCCACTTAACTTGCACATCTTTGGACTGTGGGAGAAAACCAGAGCACCTAGTGGAAGAGCACGCAGACATGGGGAGAACGTGCAAACTCCAGGCAGACAGTCATCCAAGGGTGGATTCAAACCTGTGTTCCTGGCACTGTGAGGCAGCACTGCTACTGAGCCATCACGCCATCCAACAGATGATTTTATTTTCCATTAAACAAGTAGATGATACTTATAAACAGCAATTCTAAGCTTTTCTATTCTCAAAATATCATGGTAACACACCTCTTCTGTATTACCCCTCACATAGCAAACTGCTGGTGGGAAAGTTTTCATTAGCAATTGAACCCACTTGCTAACAAACATCAACAGACTTACTTCAAGTAGTATCCACATTCCTCACAAATATGTCACCATGGAGGTCTCACCCTCAGTCTTTGCTTGAAGCATGGTGATCTTCAGATGAAACATACCATCGGCTTTCTTTTCCTCTCTTTCACTCTCTCTCTCTCTCTCTCTCTCTCTCTCTGTCTCTCTTCCACACACACACATACATTTTCTCATGAGAGAGCAATCGTATGGTCTTCAAGATCTATCACAAGTTTACTTACTGGTATGTCTCACAAATTAATGTACATCCACTTACACTAATTAAGGCACACACAGTAATGCATTTAGACTAACACACTCATTATTGTACCCCCACACTAAACTGCAACACATTAATATCTGTCCATTCACACTAACACGAACACACATAGCTGATCTTATTAGCATCAGCAACACGCTTTCAACTAACACATTCATTGTCACTAACAGATTCTCAGCAACTTCAAATTCACAGCTACATTGTCTCAATTCCTGGAACTTAGTGCAGCAATTTTGCAGCTAACATAACATGCAAACTTTACCAAGTTGGTCCATTTCATTGCTAAAGTTTTTCTTTTCTCTCCCAGGCACTTTCCCAGTGAGTTCAATAAACTATAAATGTTAATTACTTCATGAGGCCTAATCAACAGCTTAACCCACTGAAATGATTGAGGGCTTTCAACCAAATGAAGTGAACGTTCACTGCTAGATCAGCACCAGGTGATTGCTCAGGTAAGCATGCTTATTTTAACAATGATATTTACCTGATCAATTTAAATGAATTGCTGAACTGATGCGAAGAATGGCCTCAACATTAACGGCGTAGTAAGGCCCCAAAACAAGCCAGCAGCTGTGAAATTGTGAAAGTTGCCTGAGTGGCTTTAAGTTTGCATTAGCAGAGTCAGATATTGTGACACCTTTGATAGGAAATCTAACCACAAAGTCTAGAGAAAAAAACAGGACCGGACTTTAGTTCGATATGGAATGAGTTTTAAATACTACTTCAGTTTGTGATGCATTGCCACAGATAAATAAACTCACTGTACTGTATACTTTATAACTTCACGCATGATTGTTGATGTTATAAACTTAGTTGTGCTGTGCTTTCGAAAGGAACACATAGGCCAAACTGACACCTGAGCTAGTTCTTCCATTTATTTGTGTCGAAGTTGATTTGTCTTATAACTCAAATCAGCTGCCTCAGTTCCATAATGCTGAGTAAGCCTGTTTTATAAGACTCTGTGTTAATGTTTAAATTTACGACTAATGTTATATAAAAAGTTTCTTGGAGAAAAACATTCCAGATTTTCACTATTCCTGTGGGTGAAATGCTTCTGACATAACCATTGACCTGTTTATCTGTGAGACTGAGCCAGCAACCCTTTGTTCTGAACTGTCACAACAAAGGAAATCATTTATCTTCATGTACCCAATCAAATCCTTTAATGAATGAAGAATAGTTACACAACATAAGAAGGCCATTCAAGCAGTCATGTCTATGCAGGTTCTCAAACATAGCAATTCACCTAGTGCCATTCCAATATCTTTTCCCTCTAGCACTTTTTCAGATAATAATCAAATACCCTCTTGAATATCTTGATTGAACCTGCCTCCATCACACTTTCATGCACTGCATTTTGCGAAATAATCGCACGATGTTCAGAATTATTCAGAGACTTGGAGACGGTAAGGACTGCAGATGCTGAAAGCTAGAGTCAATAAATGTGGAGCTGGAAAAGCACAGCAAGTCAGACAGCAGCATGGAAGTAGACATTCTGGGCCAAAACCCTTTGTCAGGACTGGCGAGGAGGGGGGAGCCCAGAAATAAATAGAGGGAGGGTAGGTGGGATGGAGATAGGGTGCAGGTAGGGGGTTATTGTGGTTGGTCAGTGGGAAGGGTGGAGCAGGGAGGTGAGTAGGAAGATAGACAGATTGGGATGGAGAGATTTTGAAGATGGTGAAGTCAATATTCAGGGATTGGGCTGTAAGTTCCCAAGGCAAAATATCAGGTGTTGTTCCACCAGTTTACATTTGGCCTCACTGACAGTGGAGGAAGCCAAGGATGGACATGTCACCAGTGGAGTGAGAGGGGAGTTAAAGTAGATGGCAACCGGAAGATCAGGTTGGTTGGTGCGTGCAGAGCACAGGCACTCCGCTTAGCAGTCCCTGAGTCGGCGTTTGGTCTCACCGATATACAGGAGACCACATTGGGAGCAATGGATACAGTAAATGAGGTTAGATGAAGTGCAGGTGAATCTCTGCCGGATTTGGAAGGATTGTTTGGTGCCTTGGATGGAGGTGAAAGGGGAAGTGTAGAGGGCAGGTGTAGCACCTCCTGCACTTGCAGGGTATGGTACCGGGTATGGTGAAGGGCTTGATGGGGAGTGTGTAGCTGACAGGGGAGTCGCAGAGTGAATGGTCCCTGCAGAGAGCGGACAAGGGTGGGGAGGGGAATATCGTTTAGGTAGTGGGGCATGATTATAGGTGGTGGAAATGTCGAAGGATGATATGTCCTCACATACTACCCCACCAACCTCCAGATACAACACATCATCATCTGACATTTCCACTTTAACTCCCCTCCCACTCCTCTAGTGACATGTCCATCCTTGGCCTCCTCTACTGTCAGAGTGAGGCCAAACATAAACTGGTGGAACAACATCTGATATTTTGCCTTGGGAGCTTATAGATCAATGGCCTGAATATTGATTTCACCAGCTTCAAAATCTCTCCACCCCCAACCTGTCTATCTTCCAACTTATCTATCCGCTCCACCATTCCCACTGACCAACCACAATAATCCCCTCAGAGATAGTAGGAACTGCAGATGCTGGAGAATCCGAGACAACAAGGTGCAGGGCTGGATGAACACAGCAGGCCAAGCAGCATCATAGGAGCAGAGAGGCTGACGTTTCGGGCCTAGACCCTTCATCAGAAAAGGGGGAGGGGAAGGGGGTTTTGAAATAAATAGGGAGAGAGTGGGAGGCGGATAGAAGAGGGATAGAGGAGAGGATAGGTGGAGAGGAAACAAACAGGTCGAAGAGGCGGGGATGGGGCCAGGAAAGGTGAGTGTAGGTAGGGAGTTAGGAAGGGGATAGGTCAGTCCAGGGAGGACGGACAGGTCAAGGGGGCGGGATGAGGTTGGTCGGTAGGAGATGGAGGTGCGGCTTGAGGTGGGAGGAGGGGATAGGTGGGAGGAAGAACAGGTTAGGGAGGCAGGGACGAGTTGGACTGGTTTTGGGATGCGGTGGGGGGAGGGGAGATTTTGAAACTTGTGAAATCCACATTGATACCATTGGGCTGCAGGGTTCCCAAGCGGAATATGAGTTGCTGTTCCTGCAACCTTCGGGTGGCATCGTTGTGGCACTGCAGGAGGCCCAGGATGGACATGTCGTCTGAGGAATGGGAGGGGGAGTTGAAATGGTTCGCGACTGGGAGGTGCAGTTGTTTGTTGCGAACCGAGCGTAGGTGTTCTGCAAAGCGGTCCCCGAGTCTCCGCTTGGTTTCCCCGATGTAGAGGAAGCCACACCGGGTACAGCGGATGCAGTATACCACATTGGCAGATGTGCAGGTGAACATCTGCTTGATGTGGAAAGTCTTCTTGGGGCCTGGGATGGGGGTGAGGGAGGAGGTATGGGGGCAGGTGTAGCACTTCCTGCGGTTGCAGGGAAAAGTGCCGGGTGTGGTGGAGCTGGAGGGGAGTGTGGAGCGGACAAGGGAGTCACGGAGAGAGTTGTCCCTCCGGAAAGCAGATAAAGGTGGGGAGGGAAAGATGTCTTTGGTGGTGGGGTCGGATTGCAGATGGCGGAAGTGTCGGAGGATGATGCGTTGGATCCGGAGGTTGGTGGGGTGGTACGTGAGGACGAGGGGGATTCTTTTTTGGTTTTTATTGCGTGGACGGGGTGTGAGGGATGAGGTGCGGGAGATGTGGGAGACACGGTTGAGGGCGTTCTCGACCACCGAGGAGGGGAAGTTACGGTCCTTGAAAAACGAGGACAACTGAGATGTACGGGAGTGGAATGCCTCATCCTGGGAGCAGATGCGGCGGAGGCGAAGGAATTGGGAATAGGGGATAGCATTTTTGCAGGAAGGTGGGTGGGAGGAGGAGTATTCTAGGTAGCTGTGGGAGTCGGTGGGCTTGAAATGAATATCGGTTTCGAGGTGGTTGCCCGATATGGAGACAGAGAGGTCCAGGAAGGGGAGAGAGGTGTTAGAGATGGTCCAGGTAAATTTAAGGTTGGGGTGGAAGGTGTTAGTGAAGTGTATGAACTGTTCGAGCTCCTCGTGGGAGCACGAGGCGGCGCCGATACAGTCATCAATGTAACGGAGGAAGAGGTGGGGTTTAGGGCCGGTGTAGGTACGGAAGAGGGATTGTTCCACGTAACCTACAAAGAGGCAGGCATAGCTTGGGCCCATGCGGGTACCCATGGCTACCCCCTTTGTCTGTAGGAAGTGGGAGGAATTGAAAGAGAAGTTGTTGAGTGTGAGGACGAGTTCGGCTAAGCGGATGAGGGTGTCAGTGGAGGGGGACTGGTCGGGCCTGCGGGACAGGAAGAAGCGGAGGGCCTTAAGGCCATCTGCATGGGGAATGCAGGTGTAGAGGGACTGGACGTCCATGGTAAAGATGAGGTGTTGGGGACCGGGGAATTGGAAGTTCTGGAGGAGGTGGAGGGCGTGGGTGGTGTCACGGACATAGGTAGGGAGTTCCTGGACCACAATAATCCCCTACCTGCATCCACCTATCTCCATCCCACCTACCCTCCCCCTAGCCACACCCCACTGCTTCTATTTATTTCTGGGCTTCCAGCCTCCTCCCTCGTCCTGACGAAGGGTTTCTGCCCAAAACGTTGACTTCCAGGCTCTTTGGTTGCTGTTGGATCTGCTGTGCTTTTCCAGCTCCACATTTATTGACTCCAGAATTATTCACACACCTCTTCGGATACTGGAGTAGTCTGTATCCATATGCAGCAAGCTCTGGACAATATCCAGGCTTGGGCCAATAAGTGACAAGTAACATTTACACCACACAAATGGCAAGTAATGAATATCTCCAATAACTGAGAATCTAAACTCTTGACATTTAATGGCATAGCCATCACTGAATCTGCCACTATGAACATCCTGAGGTCAAGACTAACATCCTAATGACTAGACACCAGAAACTGGACCGGCCTGAGGCTACAGTAACAGGTAATGAGTAGCTCACTGCCATTCCTCCGTGCCTGACCAACACTTATAAGGCACTGGTCAAGAGTGTGATGGAATACTCTCCACTTGACTGGATGAATGCAGCTTCAAGAACTCTTGAGAAGCTTGATAGCAACCAGGAAAAAGCAGCCCGTTTGATTAAGAACCAATCCACGACCTTCAATCTTCACTCTCTCCACCATTGATGAACTGTGGGGCAGCAGTGTGTATCAGTTATAAGATGCACTATAGTAACTTACCAAGGCTCCTCAACAATATCTTCCAAATTAACAACCTCTTCCATATGGAAAGACAAGTGCAGCAGAATCATGAGAACACCACCCCCTGCAAGTTCTCCACTAAGTCACACACCACACTGTCTAGCAACTATATTGGCCCTCCTTTGCTAGAAGTCCCTTCCTGACAGTGGATGTCCCTATCCCAAGGGACTGCAACAGTTCAAGAAGGCAGCTCACCAAATTCTCCAGCGCAATTAGGGATTGGTAGTGAATGTTTGCCAGAATTGCTGCTGATGCCAAGATAGGCTTCACTGAACTTCTAGTATGATTCTATCACAAATTATGCTTTCGGCCACAGTGTTCAAGTGCCTATAAGCTTCCAGCCTTAGGATGTTGTCATTTAAGACTTTGAATTAACCATTCAAAGAAATGCATCCAAT